AATAGAAAATTGATTAATTAAGTATCAAATAATAAGACAGGTAATTAGTATACACCTTCTTTGCAAGCAACAAAATGTGTTATGATTTTTCTAAATTACTAAAACGTGTAATGGCAAATATAAAAGAATCCAGAACGCATTGCGGCATTTCTTAATTACCACAATGCTTTGTGGACGAATATTGTAGCAGGTGTATTCCACTTCAGTTCAACACAAAAAATTTTATTAGGTTTTAGGATTCGGTTGAAATTGGGTAGATTATATCCTCTGGTGGTAATAAATAAAATCCCCAAGCGATTTTAAAAAATTTCAAAAATTGGCGGACATATTGGATTTTTAATTTTTTGTACTTTTTTTTGAAAAATATATATCTCTGCTTCTTCTTAACGGATTTTAGTTTATAACCTCTTAAATTGTTCGTATTGAAATATGCTTTTATTTAAAAAATTAAAAATAAAAAAATTATTTAAATTTTTTGTTTAAAAAATTAATTTAATTTTTTGAAAAGCCATAGAAAAAATATGCTACCTTCAATTTTGATCATTTTTTTACCATTTGTAGCCATAAATGTGTTGAACTTGTCCTGAAATTTTCATCGTGGGACAGCCAGTAGTTTTTGAGAAAAAAAATAAAACGTAAATCCTCGCATAGCGCTGTAGCGCTCAGTTTTAATGCCGCACGATTGTAAATGGAATTTTAATGAAAGTACGAGTTTTTATTAAGCCTAGAACTAAAATATGATTTTTTTATAGACTAACGAAAAACTGGGGTGGTTTGGTACCCCAGATTTGAAACAATTGTAAAAGGTTACCTTTTTTGTAATTTTTTTAATTTGTCAACAATGTGGCTAATTTGAAAAAATTAAACGGATTTTAAAAGGTAAATAGAGACAATTTTATTTTGATTAAGGCAACTTGAAAATTTAAATATTATTTACAATATATACAAATGTTAAATGATTTTAAAATAGAATAAAAATCATTTATTACAAAGGAGGTTTCTATTTTTTACGGGGGAGTTTCCGAGGTCTTACAGTTTTTTTTATTTACCTTTTAAAATCCGTTTAATTTTTTCAAATTAGCCACATTGTTGACAAATTAAAAAAATTACAAAAAAGGTAACCTTTTACAATTGTTTCAAATCTGGGGTACCAAACCACCCCAGTTTTTCGTTAGTCTATAAAAAAATCATATTTTAGTTCTAGGGTTAATAAAAACTCGTACTTTCATTAAAATTCCATTTACAATCGTGCGGCATTAAAACTGAGCGCAACAGCGCTATGCGAGGATTTACGTTTTATTTTTTTTTCTCAAAAACTACTGGCTGTCCCACGATGAAAATTTCAGGACAAGTTCAACACATTTATGGCTACAAATGGTAAAAAAATGATGAAAATTGAAGGTAGCATATTTTTTCTATGGCTTTTCAAACACTTAAATTAATTTTTTAAACAAAAAATTTAAATAATTTTTTTAATTTTAATTTTTTAAATAAAATCATATTTCAATACGAACAATTTAAGAGGTCATAAACTAAAATCTGTTAAGAAGAAGCAGAGATATATATTTTTCAAAAAAAAGTACAAAAAAATTAAAAATCCAATATGTCCGCCAATTTTTGAAATTTTTTAAAATCGCTTGGGGATTTTATTTATTACCACCAGAGGATATAATCTACCCAATTTCAACCGAATCCCAAAACCTAATAAAATTTTTTGTGTTGAACTGTCGTGGAATACACCAGCAGCCACAAAGTGAATTTCGCGTTGTGGCCCTTTTTAAATTACCACAACGCGTTTTGAGCGCTTTTTGTCATGCCACAACACGAATTTCGCGTTGTGGACAATTTGAAGTAGCCACAACGCGTTGTGGACTATATTTTCGCTCAATGAGCGTTTTCGGTCTTTGAGCCTAACATATATATATCGTAAATATTGAAAAATTAATAAATTTCAATCGTCGTCAATAAAAAATTCAGTTTTTTCCCTATTGAAAATCCCCATATGGGAAACCATATGGGAAACCACATGGGATCCTATGTCAAAAACCATGTAAAACCCTACTTCCATGAAGGAAACCACGTGGTTTACCATGTGGTTTCCCATGTCAAACCATATGGGAAATTGAGACAGGATTTTAGTTAGGAATAGACATGGGAAATTTGAACAGTTCATCTATGCATAAAACCATATCAAATCCCACATGTTTTTCCCATTTAAATCCTAAACCGAATCACATGTGAAAAACAGTATCATTTATTTATAATTATTTTCTCAAGTCAATCCCCAAGTGAAAAAATTATCATTTATTTATAATTATTTTCCCATGTCAAATCCTAAACCAAATCCCATGTGAAAAACATTATCCGCCTTATTGAATATCCCTACATGGGAATCCACTTGGAATTTTACAAGGGATTTCACATAGGATTTTATATGGGAATTGACATAGGATTTCATGCAAGATTTCACTTAGGATTTAATATGAGATATCACATAGTATTTTATTAAAGATCCAATGAAGAAATTTTCAAAGGATTAAAAATTATTTAATAAAAAATTAAATAATAAATAGTATTAGTGTTACAAGTCATCAAAAAAGTAAAAAAACGATCATTTGAAACACGTCCTCTCTGCTACAGGTTCTCAGCTTTTATATACTTCCAGAGTCGTCTCAACAGCGAGAGAAGTCACTTTCGCCACCTAGCGGTGAAAGTATAGGAATTAAGTATCATTACTAAGGAAACCATGTGGAATACCACGTAGGATTCCATGTGGTTTCCTACGTGGGGATTAACATGGGATTTTACTTAGGAATTTAAGTAGAAATAAATTCCCAAATGAATTCCTAAGTAAAATCCCATGTAAATCCCCACGGTGGAAACCACATGGAATCCTACGTGGTATTCCACATGGTTTCCTTAGTAATGATACTTAATTCCTATACTTTCACCGCTAGGTGGCGAAAGTGACTTCTCTCGCTGTTGAGACGACTCTGGAAGTATATAAAAGCTGAGAACCTGTAGCAGAGAGGACGTGTTTCAAATGATCGTTTTTTTACTTTTTTGATGACTTGTAACACTAATACTATTTATTATTTAATTTTTTATTAAATAATTTTTAATCCTTTGAAAATTTCTTCATTGGATCTTTAATAAAATACTATGTGATATCTCATATTAAATCCTAGGTGAAATCTTGCATGAAATCCTATGTCAATTCCCATATAAAATCCTATGTGAAATCCCTTGTAAAATTCCAAGTGGATTCCCATGTAGGGATATTCAATAAGGCGGATAATGTTTTTCACATGGGATTTGGTTTAGGATTTGACATGGGAAAATAATTATAAATAAATGATACTGTTTTTCACTTGGGGATTGACTTGGGAAAATAATTATAAATAAATGATACTGTTTTTCACATGGGATTCGGTTTAGGATTTGACTGGGAAAAACATGTGGGATTTGATATGGTTTTATGTATAGATGAACTGTTTAAATTTCCCATGTCTATTCCTAACTAAAATCCTGTCTCAATTTTCCATATGGTTTGACATGGGAAACCACATGGTAAACCACGTGGTTTCCTTCATGGAAGTAGGGTTTTACATGGTTTTTGACATAGGATCCCATGTGGTTTCCCATATGGGGATTTTCAATAGGGTTAATAATTTTGTTAAACCCTACAAGGAAAGGAAATATTAGTATATATAAAAATAAAAATAATTCTTCACTTATAAAAAATCCATAAATGATATTTATTTTAAAAAATTTGTATTTAAAATTTTATTATAATTCTTTATATTCTAATATACATTTACTCTTTTGTATATGTGACCTGGACAGTGAAAAGGGACCTTACGTGCGAAAACAAGTTTTCGAGAAAACAGCAGTTAAAGTTTAACTTAGAAAAACCCTTGTAACGTTTTTAAATATGAATATTTTTTAATCAAGTTAGGCTTATTTTCTTAACCGTGGATCACAGTATCAAAATAAAAAACATACAAGTAATGAAATTTTTTTTTTAATAATTGTTTATATAAATTAATAACAAACTCCCCAAACATAGAAAAAATAATCTAAGTTTTCTAACTATCAACAATAAGTATAAATAAGTGACACATGTTTGTAAGGGTTTTCGAGGCCGCTTATTACGAATATGATGTTAAATTGACAATTTGACAGTTGACAGCTGTCAACTTCTCTAAAAAGTGATCGTTTTTTGTAAAAAAGACAGTAACACGGTTTTTGAGGTCGCTGATTACGAATATGATATCAAATTTGAATTTTAACTGTTGCCAGTTGTCAAAGAAACTGTCAACTTTTCTAAATAATAAAAAATTATCGTCTTCGTTATTTTAATTTGTATAATAACACAGAATCAGTTTTATCGTATTTTTACACTTGTTTCTTTTGACTTTAAAAAATTTTTTTTAAACTTCTAATCAACTTATGACTTTTTGGTTTTCACCATCTTAAAGAGCGTTTCAAACCCTATATCCGAATCAACAAAAAAGTAAAAAATGATTTTTTGACACGTAAGGTCCCTTTTCATAGACCAGGTCACATATAATATTTATTATTGTATGTTTTAAAGGTTCTAAATTTATATTATTTAATCACATAAATTACTGAAATAATTGTGAGAGTAGTTTCAAACTCGATTAGTAAAATAATATTTTTTGGATTTATAAAATTCTTTTTTTATTTATCTAAATATAGACATGACGAGTAAAAATAAAATACGTTAGAAAACGTATACCTTGTAACTTTGTAAAAAATAGAAGAAAATATATTTAATTTTTTTAAAGAAATGTTTTTTGACTGTGTTGAAATTTTTTGTCGAGAATTGTTTTTATAATTGAAAAAAAGTTGAAGGGAAATGAAATTGAATTTTTTCGAAATTTGTTACGGTACTGATTTTGTGGAACGATTTGAAACTGTGAATCACTATAAGGCGATAGGCTGGTTGCGCATGGCACTCCAGTTGCCGGCTGCACACGACAATCGGCAATGAGTAGGGGGAGATCAATATATTCAGAGCAATCTTGAATCTACGACAAGAAGTTTGTGACAGTTCGAAAGTAACACTACAAATAATTAATTTCTATTCAACAAATTAATCAAGATGCCTTCTCCCTGCGGTGATTCCAAATGCAAAGGTAAGAGTTTCGGTTCAAATAATAAGTATTCTGTACTTTTTATATTTAATATTATGCACGAACTGCATCATATGATGTCTATATTTTTACAATTGTTTTTGTAATGTTGAAAAATTCAGAAAAAATATTAATATTTTATTTGATATTGTAAAACTAGAAATAGTAAAATTTATGTTTGAGATGCTTTTGTCAACTTCCAATAACGATATGTTAACCATTTCACTTCTATACGTTTTATAGTATTTTTTCAATTAACAAATCGTATATTTATTGCTTTAATTTTATTCTGTAAACAATATTCTAGTTAACTTTGATTTCGAATTCTATTTTGAATATTACTAGATCAGTCTTGCTATACCTTGTAAATTGTTATATTTTTCAAAATGATTTTGACTAAATATGTTATAAATATTAAGATTATTTGTTGTTAAAATTGAAAATAACATTATTTTAAAATAATGATAATGTTGATAAATATAAAACAAGAAAATATCTAAACATGATTAATTCGAAAAAGTCTTTATATATGTTTGAAGGATTTAAATTATAATTATTAAAGCGCCTCTGTGACAGAATTAAAAAACTATTTTTTGAAATTAAATTAAATTAACGAAATAAATATTTTTCAATTTAATATTATGTTATGAAGATATATTGCATAATATTATGTGATTGTTGAGTTATGATCTGTAATAAGAAACGTTTAAGCGCATAATTTGATGATTCATGAAATGAAATTTTATATATTTTTTCCTTTTATTAAATTCTATTATTTTATAATAATGCGTGTCTTTAAATTTTATTTTTCACTATAAAGTTGACATTAATGCTTAAAATATTATTTATAATTTTTCTAAGATCATAAAAATGTATTCCATTAAATTAAAACATTTTTTTATGAATATGTAATAATATTACTAAAAATTGTAATTAAATAAGCAATTTAAACTGGAAGTTTATCAATAAGTTGTATTTTTAATTATAATTTTAATTGATCTACCTACATTGCCTGGAATTTTTATGTATTTGTGTCAATTTTTACTAGATATGTAGAAGTAATGTAAATTTTATTTTATATAAAAAGTAAAAGTTTTTAAGTCACATTACATACCTATTTTCTTTTTTGTGTAAATAATTTTGATTCATTGTCAGGTTGTTAATTTTATTCTTGAAATAATTAAATTCACGAAAACTATTTTCTATCTTTGCATATATTTAATATTTTTAATTATTTATTAATTTAAACTGTTAAATAATAGCGCTAATAATTAATTATTTAACTGCTCATTGTTATTTTATTTCATTTTTATTGTATTTATAAAATTACATTTCTACGGGATAACTTGTTAAATTTTACAGTTATATATGTACATATATATATATATATACACTTATGTTTAATATAATGTGAACTTATAGCCATAGTAGTCGAGAAAAATTTAATAATCCTTCTTTCCTCTTGTGTTTCCTTTCTTGAAGGGTTCTCATTTCATTCGACGATTTCTCAATATACAATCATTATTAGAAAATTCTTAAGGAAGAAAATTGAAAAAATTCTTCACATTTATTTTTTCAAAAATTTTCTCTTCAATTTCAAGAATCATTATTTCTTTATATGTATTAGTTGAATAAGAATGGAATTTAATAATATTAAAAATCGAAGAATTTAGACTGAAATATGTTTCTAGAATTTTAATTATTTTTCAATTAATTATTATAAATTCGTATTTTTGTATTTTAACCTACTTTATGTTACATAAATTTGATTTACAGTTCTACATTTGAAAAATAAAGAAATTTAGAAACAATTTTTAACAAAGTTATTATATAATTACCTAATTTTATAATTTTGTGAATTATTATTACGATTTAAAATATTCTTTACTGTAGTAAAGATTCAACATTAAAGAATTTTCTTTTAGTTTTATAACAAATTTTTTTATCTTGCAGACAAATGCGACGGTTGCAAATGTGGGGACAACTGCAAATGTTGTGATTCCGGAAAAGGAGGTAAATGAGAAAACAATCAAATTAATAAATTCCTGTAATAGAAAAAATTTCTGTTTACTAAAACACCAACGATAGTTTTGTTATTTTTATATGAAAATTAGAAAGTAAAAGAATAATTTTTATTTTAAAACTTTTTAAATATAAAGTATTAATTTAAATAGTTGATAATAAATATTATTAGATTATTGATTAAATTGTAAAGTATTAAATAAAAAATAAAATATTTTGTAGAGAAAGATCAAAAACGTTCAATAACTAAAACATTATATAGCAATATTAGCATTTTTTATTACTAAAAACTGAATTATTATTATCATCTGATTCTTTTTACTTTTAATTTTGTAAAGTCAATTTTTGATTTTAAGAAAAAAATAATGAATCATTTTAATGAGGATAGTTAATATATATCAGCTATCATGTTTCAATGTCATATCGTTTGTCCGAAAAATAGTTTACTTTTGAAACATTAAATTTTCTTTCTATTCTATTATGGATGAAACGACATTCTTATAATTGGTTATTTAATAAATAACAGTAGACAATACCACCTGGTAAATATTATGATTTGATAGAAATTCTCGTGAAATCATTTTGCAATTTTCTATAGAGAACCACTGCGCGCAATTTTTTTTCTGATCACGGTCAACGCCCGTTTCAGTATACGATAATTTGAAGTTGTTATAATTCTCTATACACATATGAAAGTAACATGAATGTAGATAGATGCTTTAGAACTTTTACATGAAAAAAGTTTTAAAAGACAATTATATAGATGCTATAATTTATATTTCTTGAAAATTGTACTTTGTTTCAAATAACTTTTTCATCATAAAAACATATATTTTCTTACTTTCTAAATTTTATCGTTTAATTTATTTTTATATGATTATTAGTATATTTATAATTATATTTTATTAATAAAATATTTATATTAATAAGAAATTCTGTATTAGGTTTCTTTTGTAAATAATAATAAAATTGTAATTGTTCAATTTATTTTTTATTAACAATTAATTATTAATATATTATAAGTAATCATTATTTATTACAGTTTAAATGATTCAACTGTTTTTATTTGTATATATCAATTAGATTATTATTGTTTTTGTCATTATTATTAACGATTATTATTTTCTGTTTACAGAAAAGTGCAACTGCAAAAGTGGAGGACAATGCACATGCAAACAAGGATCTTGCGAATGTTAATAATTTACGATAGAAAATATTTCACTTTCATTAAACAAATATTTTTTGAAACTCAATTTTATTGAAATTTAATGTTTCAACAATACTGAAATGTATAATTTATTTTTTATGGAACAGTTTTTTTATATTTTTCAATATAAATTAAAAGCAAAAGCAAAGCAAAATTGTTAAATAAAAATATAACTGGATATATAAAATATAACTTATATTTTTATTCAACAATATCGATTAATGCTTTTTGTTATTAAATGTTTCATTAAAGAAAAATTCAATTTTTTTTCTGTTTCATAAATCACAGTGGTGCAATAAATTAAATAGATATTTAATAATGTGTATTATAATTTACACCTTTATATTTTTTCATGAAATATTATAATTTTATTTTTAACTATTTTAAGAAAATATCATTCGAAAGTTATTAAAATTTTGAAAATGTTGCTTTTTGTGTTCTTCTGGTAATTAATATTAAGTTTTAATATATAATTTGTTATCTATTTTATAAATTCTATAACTTTAACTAAATATCTCGAGATAAAAAAAATAAAAATATAAGGAAAAGGATGATTTTCACCTACAAAGATAAAAAAATTTTAAATTGTAAGTGTGCCTTTTATTTAGGTATAGTTTATTTTTTTAGAAATTTATTTAAGAACAATTACCATCTTGGGTGATTCATTTAATTTTTATGCTATTAACTTTTAAGTTAAATTTAACTTAAAAGTCAAGAAAACAAAAGTATCTTTTTTCAGAAAAAATACCCAGGTGCGAATTTAGGTTGGCCGACAGAGTTTAAAGGTTAGCCCAAGGTTGGCCTAACTTTGGCAAGCGAAGTTTTGGTTGCCAGAGTTTGCCCAACTTTGGCAAGTACTAGTGCCCACAGTTGACCCGACTTTGCAAGCCAACCATTAAATGCAGAGTTTAACCAACCGTCGGGCCAACTTTGGCGACAAAGGTTGGCACAACTCATCCAAACGTAGTTTAAAAGACTTTCAGTTTCGGTTGGTCGAACTCTGGGCCACGGTTGGCCCGACGGTTGGCAAAACTTTGTCAAATGCAGTTTAAATGACTTAAACTTTCTTGGTTGGCCGAACTCTGGGCCACGGTTGGCCCGACGGTTGGCAAAACTATGTCAAATGCAGTTTAAATTACTTAAACTTTCTTGGTCGGCCGAACTCTGGGCCACGGTTGGCCCGACGGTTGGCAAAACTATGTCAAATGCAGTTTAAATGACTTAAACTTTCTTGGTTGGCCGAACTCTGGGCCACGGTTGGCCCGACGGTTGGCAAAACTATGTGAAACGCAGTTTAATTGACTTAAATTATTTTGGTCAAGCAAACTCTGGGCCACGGTTGGCCCGACTGTTGCAGCTTTAATATACATTTTGCGTTATGCACTCCCATATGAGCGTAGCGTAGTGGTCAGTGTATAAGTCTTCGGTGCGTTAGGTTAGGGGTTCGATCCCAGCGAGCGTTAGATATTTTCGAAAATGTATGTATGAGATTGTGTTTAATAATAAAAGGTAAAGGTTATATCTAATGTTTCCGCTAATAATAACCTGTTAATTGTTTAAATAATTTAGTTTTTTAATAATTTTTTACCTTTGGCTGTTGAAGTTGGCCAAACTTTGAAAATTGTGGTTGGCCCAACTTACGCATCTAAAGTTGTGCAAACTTTGGCGTCAGTCTTTGGACCAACCATTGAAATGTATAGTTGGCACAACATATGCATTGTAAGTTAGGCCAACTTCCTTATGAGTTGTCGGGCCAACCATCTTCGCCATTAGACGGCGAACTGTTATCATCTGTATGGTTGGCCCAACCTCTGGCACGAGAAGTTGGACCGACTTTGTAAAAGTTGGCCCAACTATAAGCCGACCAAAAAATCGCACCTGGGTAAGGGGCATTCTATATACTTGAAATGGACAACCTAAAACTTCTATATATTTCAAATTGTTATTGGATAGAAGAAAATCAGCTAAAATCATATATGATAACAAACGGCGTTGGTCCTAGTGAGAGTTTTAAATTTATACTTACACTGAAAAAATTTAAAGACAGATGCTGTCCTTGTAGATAGCGCTGCTTTTTTTACGCGTGACAGCAGTGCACTTCTATCAAAAGGAATGCAGTTACTCTTTTTAGGGTTAACTGCTAGCCCGAAAAAGTAGTGTTCTTAAATTCTCGAGAATTTAAGTTGGGGTAATTTCCCTACACGGAAAAAATAAGTTCAGCAGATTTTACGAAACTAATTTCGCACTAGCGGATATTTAAGATTCCTAGACGAAGTTTTTCAAAAACCCAGAAACTTTCACTACTTTAAGCAGAACAATTGTCGAGAAACTGCAACCAGTGTTGTAATTTATAAAACAAGCTTGAATGTAGAAATGTTTCGTATTTTCTGGTGAACATTTTATCAGAAAATGGTAAAAATGTTTCGTGCAATCTAAAAACGCGTGGTTTGAGTTTCCACTTCGCTGTCTATCGTGAATTCTCGAACACAAAGTTTCGTAAAATTCTATACGGGGTGTACCAAAAGTCGCGTTATAAATAGATATGTTGAAGCTTGTCTCGTCGCGTCGGTATTAACTTGTCTGCTTTATATAGATATAATATGTGGAAGGAAAAAGAGAACTGCTTTACCTGCCGGTAACATTTGGATAATTGTTTTCTTTTACGTATTTCACATTTCATTGTTCCAAATTCGTAACATTTTTTATGTGCTTTTGTAATCCAAACTTTTAATTATTATTAATTTCTTTTAACCCCTTCACTGTCAGTGGGCTCTATAGAGCCATAAAAATGTCGTGCCCTGTATGTCCATGAGCTCTATAGGGCCATCGAAAAAAAAGACATTTAAATGTTAACGAATCTGGCTAAAAATCCTTACTCGGGGGTTTTCGGGGCCGCTGAATCCAAATCCATTGTCGAAAATTCAAAATTCAAAATGGCGGCTTCAAAATGGCGCCCAAAAAAATTTTTAAGTTTACGAATCTGTCTGAAAATGCCTACTCGGGGGTTTTCGAAGTCGCTGATTCCAAATCCGTGGTCAAAAATTCAAAATTTAAAATTGCAGCTTTAAAAAGGCGACAAAAAAAAATTTTTAAATTAACGAATTCGTTAACTTTTCAATTTTTTTGGTCGATATTTTGAAGCCGCCATTTTGAATTTTGACTTTTCGACCACGGATTTTGAATCAGTAACCTCAAAAACATAAAATATGACAATATCATGATTTAAAAAAAAAAAAAATTTTTGAACACTTATGGCACAAAAATTTTATTTTCACTCGACTGTGAAGGGGTTAATTTACAGTCCAATAAATTTTATAGTTTATCATAATATTTACCGATGACAATATATATATATTAATTTCTCAAGTTTTAACTGTTATTACTTCAAATTTTAGACAATTTAATATAAACATTTTTTGAGTTTGAATTTAATTTTGAAAATTTTTTGTCAATTTATTTATAATTTAAAATTAAGAATAAAATTATTTTCTAAAAATTGAAAAATTTTATAGAGATTTTATAACTAATTATAATCAAAAAATGTTATTTTAAAAACCATAAAATATTTTGTATAACTTTTAAAAAAATGATTTTTTTAAAAATTAATATTCAGTATATTGACATTTCTCACAAGCGCAGTTTTAATCTCCTCAGTTAGTATATAACAGGGTTGGTCACGTTAGTGTATTTTTTTGGCGATATACAGCGCCGCTTGTGGCGGGGTCGGAACTAATTCGAATTTGAATGTGTTAGTTCATGTGATTTTTTTCAAATAAAAGATAAATAATACAATTAAAAATAATAAATGTTGTCAATTTCAAGTAAACTCAACAATTTTTCTGAAAGTTTCGTTTCTAATTAACTTAATAAACAATATTTTTAATGTTTTAAATATTATTAATTATATTAATATCATAATAATTAGAATATTACTAAGTTTAAGTAATAACAATAATTTCTTTTTTAAATTTAATTAATTAATATATTTGATTAATTAATTTAATAAATAGTAATTATTTGTTTAAATTTTGCTGCATTTTATAAAATAATGTGGAATAGGAATACACAAAATTCATTTACGATAATAATTTTTATATTTAATATAAAAACTTGTCTAAATACAAATTAACAATTATAATTATTATTAATAATAATTTCTATTTCAAGGAATATATTACAATATAGTACAAAATAAAATTTCTGAATATTTTTACAATAATCAATCCTTATTAATAAAATCAGACTTTTGTCTGTACATTGCATAGAATTCAAAATTTCTATTATATTCCTTCTTTTTACACTCTAAGGAATGCGAAAATACTATTAAGAAAATTATGTGTGTATGTGTATATGTGTGTATGTGTGTATGTGTGTATGTATGTCCGCAAATTTTCGACCGCGTATCACGGAAAAACGGTTCGATCGTTTGAAGTGAAACTTGGCAGTCTTTTAGGCATTAGCCTAACTTAAAATCCTAGCGATAGTAGATTAAAAAATATTAATATGGACGAAAGTTATGCCATTTTTTCAAAAATTCGAAAATTCGAAATTTTTAGTTTTTTCATATACTTTAGTGAATTGTACTTAAACTTGGTACAGGGTTAATTTTAGTGTTTCTTATGAAGATTTAATCGTCAGAATAATAAAATTTTGAATAACAAATAAAAAGTGTTAGATTTAAATATTGAAAAATTAAAAAGTTTAAAAATTGAAATTTTTTTGTAATTAATTTTTATACGGTTGTATTTCTTAGGTCAACAATAAAAATTTGTTGTTGAAATCATAAGTTTACTTTCTTAAAAGAATTCTATTAGGTCAGAATATTAACAATATCCATATAATTAATATGAGACTTTTGTCAGTATGTTGCACAGAATTCAAAATTGCTATTATATTTTATTAATTAATGATCAAAAAATGAAAAACTCAAATTTCATTCTGATGACTAAATTGTAATAAAAAATACTAAAATTAACCCTGTATAAAATTTAAGTAAAATTAATGACAATAATTATTTCAAAAGATAAATTTTGAATTTTAAAAATT